CGGCGAGCCGGAGTCGCGCGCTAATATTGTTGCATCCGACCGGGCGGGGGATGTAATCGGGGGCGACGTTGCGCCGCCGTCCACACAGCCGAATGCAAGTGCCGCAGCATTAGATGCTGCGCGCCGCTTCTCGTGCTCTCTGCCGCGTACCCTTTACATTTGCATAGAAATGGTTCGGTCTGATGGAGCCATGTCACAAGGTGGTCGTGAATCAGCCCCAATGGCTCTTGGTAATCGCATCGCATGGTATTCAGCTCAAAGGAGCTCTAAGAGATCCACCTAGATAGATAGCTTACATACCATATAAGAACCCAATGCAAATATTACAGTAATTTAAGATTTCGTTATATCTTTAAACGAGTTTTATATATGTTGATGTTTAATTTTATTACAACAGTGTGCAAATGTTCCATTAGTTCATACTAGCCATGATTGTCATAAAATGAAACATCTACTAGATATTTACGAAAACGTGACAACCTTATCAAAATATTTCGTAGTCACGAAGCAATTAAAGCGATTGCTGTTTTGGGTGCCCGTTTGCTGTCCGAATACGAATCATTTATTGGCTACCCTTTTGACTTTCCGCCAACTGTGCTCCGGTGAATCTACTATAAAACGCCTGCAAACGAAAACATTGTATAATTGTATAGATTTAATTAATATCCAGCAGACTGCGCCATAAACGTTCGCAATTTATGAATTAGAACGCGCGTGGCAGCCGTGCGGTGTGTTTGCGTAAGCTTGTGTCGGGTTGTGCCGCCGTCGCCGCCGCCGCTGTCGTCGTAACGCGACATACAAATTAGTTGGATGTTTTAATTAGCGTTCGTTATGCGAGTTTAAAGTAGCTCTAATCAGGTCTGGACGACTACGTCGCGCTGCGGCGTTGGCTCATCCCCACCGTCCAAACGATGACCGCCGTCGCCAGCGCCGCCACCGCATCGCGGATCAAGCGGTCGCACAGCGCTAGCCAAACGTCGTCGTCGACGACGTCGTGTCCGGTCGTTTCGTAGGGCTAATGTCCTGCCATTCTGGTGGAGGCGCTCGACTGCTATCTGGCCCGCTCCCATCCGCCCGCACGACCACGCTTGGACACACTATCCTTTAGAAGTCGCATTACTCCGATCCAATTGGGCTTTAAATTGGTTCTATCTTGACACCTTCCGGTCGTTTCCATCTCGTCGTTTCTAAACCGTTACCAGCGCGCGGGTTTGCTCCGTCGTATGAAAATTACCTTCGAGTTTTATTGCTAACCTCATTGTATCATTAGAATATATTGTCGGATTACCTTGGTGGACGGGTTGAGAGAAAGGGCCAACTACCCACTCCTAGTGTGGCGATTTGGGAGATTCTTTGAAACTCAATTTTGTCTCATTAATGTGAATTATTATACTTCGACTAGGTACCCTTTGCGACTTGTGGGCGATGACGTGAGAGACACTGGCCTTGATGTCTCACACTTCCTCTTTTTTTCTTTTACTTCACAGGTATCTCATACCCACAGATGTGGGTGGTCAAGCAGGTAGATAACTCCTGCGAACGCACCTACCCCTACTTTTTTCTGCCGGTTACCCGCAGGTATAAAAGGCGAGCGCGCAGTGCGGGATTTCAGTTGTACCTGAGTCTCCCAGCAATTCAGTTGTAGGTTTCTGGGTTCTTCTCCTGTTTCCAATTCGGTTTTTCACGGCTATATTGTTTCTTTTTTGTTTTAATGATATCTAATTTAAAATATTTGTTTTTGCGCAAATAAAGTTGTTAGATATGCTTAATGAATCCACGAAACGAAGGCGAAATTAAAGTTTTAAAACCTAGTAATTATTGTAATTCATAGTATACTCTTAATTGTAATAATACGAACGTAATTAAGCCTTGTTATTGTCTAGGGATAGGTAACTTGTAATACCTAATAACTTTTAATGCGTTCGTTCTTCTCCTTTGGCCTCACCTCGCGCCACTTGCTGAACATTGGAATTCGCATGGAGGCTAAGGTACATAAGGGGCACATACATCAAACTCGAAGACTATTGCAACTTTTAGCCGCCCGTAATTATCCTCCGATCGGCCATCCTTTTAAAAGTTCAACTTATAAAACGGAATTTTGCATCTAATTACTCGTCGACGCCAATACGCTCTAAATTATCTGAATGCAAACGCGCTGGACCATTGTCTGGCAAGTTTTCACGCCTGGAAAGTGTTTGCATATGTAAAGCAGCTCCAGTGGAAAAATAAAGCCGCAAAGGAAAATGTCGGAGAGTTTATTCAAAACGTGTACGCATTTATTGAGAGTACTTTTCGGCCTCTTGAAAAAGGGAAAGTTAATGCAGTTTAAAGTGGCTTTTTTTCGCTCCGCTTTCTGCGCGTTCTCTTTTTCGACTCGCAGCAAGCAGGCAGCGGCGGCAGCCGCCACCGCAACGCACTCGAACGGCGGCGGTGCGCTGCAGCCCCACTCGTCGTGTCGCTGTCTCGCTTGCGCTCGAGTGGTGCGTCGGCGTCGCTACGCGGCTTTCGTCAAGTGCGGGGTTAAATCCGTTAGCTTAGGGGGGCGGTTGGCTCAACAGGTGGCCCATAAAGTAGATATTCGCATATCAACAGCCGACACCGCGATTGATATACTCGACTACACACGCTAAAAACGTTTACATTCACTCCGGTTACACTTTAAACATGGAAATTTGCAACGATTTGCGCCCGCGTCGAAAGAGAAAGAAAAATGGTCGCACAATGCCGTCGCTGGCGCGCGAAAAAAGCGAAACACACGGCGTGTTAAATTTGCAATTTCGCATTCGAATCGGCAAGCGACGCTCTCGTTTTGTTTCCTATAGTGTTAAAACTAAATTCATTTTAGCAAATTAACGACGTTTTGTTAATCGAGCTAGTTGTATGCAGGCAATTTCCTCGGCTGCAATTCGCATTTTTCGGAAAGTTCTTTTCTATTTGCGCCTCGCCGCGTCGCCTTTTAAACGGGCAATAATAGTAGCCGTTCGGCAATCGCGAAATGCAAATGCGAATAGATAAATTCTTTTTCTTCCATTGTTCCGTCCTCCTCATGGTTATTCTTAGCATTGTTTGCGTTTGCGTCCGGCTTTGCTCGGTCGCCTGCTTTACGAAAAGAAAACGAGCTGGGTAATATCATGAATCTTGGCGACGGCTTCGCCACCGCCACCACTCGCAGAAGCGCTCCAGCCAAAGTGAGGGCTAAGTAACCCTTTTTCGTTTGAATATATCACCAACCAAGCAACGTCGAGATTTAAATCAGAGTCGATGCGACCTGCTCGGAATTACCGCGCGCGCGCCAATAAGTATGTCCAAATGGCCCATCTTCATTTTCCAACAATTTCGGACGGATTAAGCCAAGCTTTTTCGTAACAATTTAGCGACGAATTGTAGGCGTAGTTAAATGAATCGCGTTTTATATTCACGCCTGACATCTCAAAAATTCCGTCTTCCTGGTTTTCCTCGTGCTTCGAACACACCAGGTACGCTTGTTTTTAAAAGGCGTGCATCTTTATGCGCCGCCTCCACCACGTCCCCGCAATCTCAGCGAGAGAATACCATCGAAAATAATTTCTCCGCGTTCTCGAACGCCGGCGCGAATTATGAGGACGCTTTATGTCCAAAAGGGTGGCTGCAGAACGCGGCACGCACGTCCGAAGAACAAGCCACGGCGCCAGCCCTAGGTACGCCATAGTTTGTGTGCAAATACATTTCCTGCGGGACCGCTTTCCGTCGTCCGCTTTTTTCTTTGCTTGGAGGCATAAACAACGCGCGCTTTCTTTTTCGCCCGCGCAAGAGGAGGCGCCGCCGTCCGCGTCGTCCTCATCACAATATATCTGCTCTCCTCCAGAAATCGGAGCCCTTCCTTAATTCTTGTAAACTTGCTTCTATTTATGACACAACCCAACCTACATTTATATTACGCGGACGACCCGCCGCCGCTTGCTGTGTCAGGGCGCGAGGAAAACGTCTTCGAGATTTATATTCTATTTTGCGCGCCGGGATACTACATAAAGGCGAAGACTCCTGGGCGAGCGGCTCCACCGCCTTGCTTTTTATTTATTTTATTACATCTGCCTTTATATATTTAGTTAACAAATTGCCTAAGGACGTTGCGACCTTTATATTATGGCGGGCAGAGCTTTAGCGCAAATTCAAGTATTTTGGCATTGATATATTTTAAATATGTAATAAATATTGAAAGCACAAGAAAAACTTTGGGCAAGTTGTTCTATCCTGAAAAGTTTTTCAACGTATTTGGAAAATAGGGTAATTTGTATTTAAATATCGTGCGACTTCATGAGCCCGACACTTTTTGACGTTCAAACTAGAAAACTCCAAAATCTATTGTGGCGCATGGTTTGGTGCCCATTGTAGTCGCAGCGTGTTGTGCTGGTGTCGATTTTGGAAGAAAAGAGTGCTCGCATTTCCATGCAGCTCGCAAGCGCGTCACTTTCCGCATGAGTGGCGATCGAGGAGGTGAGCGGGTGAGCGTGCGAAGCGAGAAAAAGGCAAGTTAGCCCCAAGTATCAGTGCCTTGTATCAGTGCGCGCCGCCCGGTCTCCGGAGAGAGATTCGGCGCGGAGCGAAAGCCATTGTGACTGACAGATCCTGGCAGATGGAAAGCCCACTTCTTGCATACGAATGGGCTGCTTTGTAGCGCAGACTTGCGACGGGGGTGGCGCGGGGCGGCGGCGCTGATATTTACGATATCACTCGCCGCGGCCGAGGCCTCTCGTTATGGCTGCGCGATGCGCGCAACTTCCACGCTTTATGCAGATAAGCTCCTTTAATTGGCCGGAGGAATATTCTATCTCTAACCCGGCCATTTCTGTCATTTTTGCGCAAATTTATTTTTGCCCGCCTGCGTAAAAATACAAAAAGGAACGCTTCAAGGCAAAAATACAATCTCCATTTTGCAATTTCGCAAAGAAAAACGGCACCCGACGTTGTGCTTTCTTATTTTTTCAATAAATTTTTATCTCGGGGCAAAAATAAACCAAGGATAATATAAAAACAAGTTTATTTTCAAAATGTACAAAAAAAATTATTCCTGATAATTAAAATATTAAAACGTAACAATACTTTCCATGTCCAATCCGGTGTGCATTCTGAAACAACAAGAAAGAAGCTTGTTAATGAAATCGTCATATCTACATCTTCTATAAACAATTTACCTCTTGCAATGAACTTTTAGATTAGCTTCAGAGGAAAAACTATTCGTACACTGAGTACAGTTAAATGGCCGATCTCCGCCATGAACACTGTCATGTTTGAGTAGTAGCGGTATCGTGCTGAAGGCTTTGTTACACTTATCACACTTGTGTTCTCCGTGCAATGTCCTCTTATGCTTTCGAAGAACTGAATTTGTGACATAATACTTCAGGCAAACATCACATTGAAATTTCTTGTCCTTTGCTGACACTTGATTCAACTCAGGTTCCGCAACGAAATATTCCCCTTTTTCATTAGGAATAATATTATTACTATCCTCAATCGTAAAGGAAATTGGTTGATTGTAGGTAACTCTAATAGTAACTGGATCTATATTGTCCCCAAATCCTGGTATCTCATCAGTAAATAAATTCGCTGTTGGTATCACTTCTTCTGGGGCCGCTTCAACGGCTTGTTGCTGTTCTTCATGGATTTTGTCGTTGGTTTCATACACAAACGTTTGCAGAAAAGTAACCGCGTCCATTTTTGTCAACTTCTTCGTTTTATTCTCGTGTGATTGCATATGAGTCACCATATGATGGCGGCGTTTAAACGTTTTGGTACACTTATCGCATCGAAACGGCGCTTTGTCCACGTGCGTCTGCATGTGTGTTTTCAAACTTTTTGCGGAACCAAAACGCGAATTACATACAAGACATGGGAACGGTTTGATGTCATTAGGATTGTGCGTGCGAAGATGTGACATAAGTGTGGACTTGATTGCGAATGCTTTCTCGCACTTCGTGCACGTGAACGGTTTTTCTCCTGTATGGGTTCTGAGATGTCTATCCTGTAAACAAATGCAAGCATTAAACTTCTTATTGTCGCATGACATAAAATAACATACCATATCCGATTTCTTTTTGAATTTCTTTGGGCAAAACTTACAGGTATGATCAACAAAACTTTTATGTTTCGCAGAAATGTGCCTAATCACCCTATGTTCATCATTAAATTGCTTGAAACACTTCGGGCATGAATATTCCACAGGCGTATCAATGGCGTTTTCCTTTTCTACTACATCTACATTACTAACTTCAATTGTTTGCTGCTCAATATTATCTTTAGAGCAAACATATTCCGGTGTATCATCTGCAAGTTCCTCCTGTGAATTCATCGGCCGTACATCCAAGAAATCCCGAAGTGATATATTAAAATAATTGATATCTTTTGTAACAGTATCATTTTTAATTTCCGCATTTTCCGTTACTAAAGTGACGGGTACAATCGAGTTTATCATCGATGTACCAGTGTCAGGCAAGATTGTCATTGGAAGCGAAGATGGATGATCAACCCCATTGTATGATGAATTAAAGATCAAGTTTGGATTGAACGTTGTTTCATTGCTTATACTCATAGGGCCATCTAGACTAACAAAAAAATTTGGCGCAGATGTGAGATCATACTTTGTTGCTTCTTGGAGGTCTGAAACTTGATTGAGCAAAATAGAATCGGAATTTGGTAGTTTCATTTGTGATTCTAGTCCATTAACATCTGCGTTTTCCAATAAATGAATGTCATCTATATTGTAATACCATTGTCTTCCTTCTTGTATATGAATTTGCGGTATGTTCTCATATTTTGCCTACAATACACTGCATGAGTACAAATTTCATGATATCTTATTCATCTATTTACATGTTCTGTCGTGGTATCCGTCTTTAAACGTTCAGTACTTTCAGGTAAATTTACGTTTTCTAAATTTATAACACTGTTTAAACCATCTCCCACTAATGAATTGAAAGTAATCAAATTATCGTCCGGAATATTCTGATCTGACGTCTCTGGTATATTTTCAATTTGGGAAATTTCATTATTTTCAATGATCTAAAACAGTACAATTTAAAAATTAATTTAATTCATTTAATTGAGAGTAAAGTACTTACTGTTGTAGATTCATTTATATTATGCCTTGCAATATGTTTTCGACAATGTTCCTTTGCCCTAAATCGCTTTTTACAATACGGGCATAGAAAAGGTTTCACAAGTTTATGTGACGTGATATGGCGCTGTAACATACTCGCATTCATAAATGCCTTTTTACACTCGGGGCAAGAATGATTTTTTGATCGTTTGTGGTACATTAAGTGCTCTTTTAAAGCAGAGTGTGTAACAAATTGCCTATAAATTATAACAATAAATAAGTTTAGATTTAAAACAATGTCAATATTCAACATACTTTAAACAAATTGAACACGTAAATTCCTTCTTAATGCAGTGGCACGCCATGTGTTTCTTCAAATGAGCACCACGTATAAAGGCCGCATTACAAATGTGACATTTAAATGGTCTATCTTTGTATTCGTCGAGTGTTGCTAGCGGAATTTTGGGTTTCGGAGGTGCTATGGAAAATAATCCTTGGTCAGTTTCAATCAGTGGTTGCAACATTTCAACCTGTGGTTCTTTTTCAAGCAGAATTATACCGCCATCATCAGGTACTTCGTGTAATTTCATGTGCAAGTTTGCTGACTCAAGTGTATCGAAGGTTTTGTCACATCCAGAACATTTGTAGGAGTGATTTTTACGTGCAACTGCAGATTGTTCATGTTTCCTTAAAAAGTAATAATATAAAATTAGTTATAGTATGAAATAATATAAAATTTTACTTACTTTAAATGTACATTTAGTGAGCGTACTGATCCAAAGTTTTTCTTGCAAAACGCACATACAAACTCGTTTTTACTATGTGTGGCGAGGTGATTGTTAACTGTGGATTTTTGAGCAAATGATAAGTCACATTTAGGACACTAAAAAGACAATCAATTAATTTCTAACAAACTGTAACAAAATTACCGACATACTTTATATGGTTTTTCTTTGGTATGTATCCTCATATGTCGTATCAAATCTGATGGTTTTTTAAATTCTTTGTTGCAAACAGAACACAAGTACCATCTATGTTCACCAACCGTTCTTTGTTTAATTTCATACATCCTTAAATTACCATTAATGCTACTGTCTGCAATCTTAACATAGGAAATCTGCGGCGTATTAATTATTTCTTGGGCCTGCGACTGATTAGTTTCTGTACTCTGAACAGGCGCATCAATAATATTCTGTTTTTGTGTTGCAGGTTGGTGCCCAGATTGTCGCTCCAATTCTTTCAATTGCGACATTACGTTCATGATATCTCCACTGTCTTGAACACAATCTGAATGGAGGCGTGTTACATGGCCGTTTAATGACGATATCTTCTTGAAGACGCATGTGCAATGCGTGCATTTGTAAACTTTTTCATCTGGTTCATTTGATGAGTGAGTTTTTTCTAGATGCGCTATGAGATTACCTTTTTGCACGAATTTTGCGGGACAAAACATACATGCATGCGGTTTGTTTCCTTCGTGGCGCTTGCTATGTATGCTAAGGGCGCTCTTTTGCGAAAAACCTCGTTTACAAATAGTGCACTATAATAATAACAAAATTGATTTATGAAAACACCAGGATACAAGTTAATTTTTAACTTACCAAAAACGGTTTCTCACCCGTGTGTGTTCTCTGATGTCTCTCTAGCAAGCATAATTTTGGGAAGCTTTTTACACAATCTTTACATTTATGAGCGTATTCTCGCGTTCTGCCTCTGCGTTTCATTCGACTTCTTCCACTATTAACTATCTTCTTAGCCTGAAAATTACAATTTTAACAGTGCTGCTTCACATACCACAACTGATTTTTACCTGAATGTGAAGTTGTATGTGTCTCTTATACTTGTCAACATCATTAAATACATAATTGCAATAGTTGCACCTCAAAGGTACATCATTTTGAGAGATATCAATAACTTCACCTTCATGAATCTCTAAATGTCTATATAACTCATCTTCTTTTTCAAATTCATCCTTACAATGTATGCAACTAAAACTCTCGTCAACTTCATGCACAACTAAATGTGCCTTTAGGCTGGCAACTCTTTGGAATTTTCTATCACAAATTGGACACATAGGAGTTCCTGTATTGTGTAAAGTCATATGAATTTTGTAATTGACTTCCTTGTTATAGCTTTGAGTACAAAACTTGCATTGGAACTTTTTGGGACTTTGATGTTTCTTCATGTGAAAGCAATATCTAGACACTTTATCAAATACCTTTTTGCATAAAGGGCATTTAATTGGAGGTTCTTTTCTTTTCACTGTCTTAGTTTCAGTTTTTGCTAGTTGGGCAGTGGTTGTCTGAATATTTTCTTCATTATCTGGTTTGGCAACTTCAATTGTTGGGGCATCAGATTGATCATTATTATTTATTATAATTAAATCATCACCATTATTTTGTAATTCACTTAAATTAATTATTTGAAATGTACTATTTCTTTCTGATAGAGTTTTAAACAGTTGTGATAGTTTTTCTGGTGTTATGGTGTTACAAGGTAAAGATAACACCTCTGAGAACTCCATGTTTGGTTGTGATATTTCCATTGTAATATTGGTATTTTCACATATGCTTAAAAAATGAAAAACACTTTTTTAATGTTGTGAAGTACACTTGTTTAACTTTCCCCAACCATACAGAAATTGTAAATATTTACGGAAAATCGACATAGCCTTAAACTTACACCACAGCTGATAATGGCACATGACAGTTTAGTGGTTAGGAATAAATGTCCCAAGGTTTGTGAAGACGAACGAGTCCGTGTTTGGTTTAAAAGTGTTACTTCCATATAATGTAATAAAAACTTTTTCTACGTAAGATATTTTCTAGAATTCAATTCCTAATTTTAAACAATTATATCTTAATATTATTTTTTTTAAGTTACAAGGCAAAGTAACTAGACATTGATCTGTCATTCAAATCTCTGACATCATTTGTTTTTAAGATCGGGCGGTGCAGTCCACATAGACAACAATCTTCATTTTCGTTATTTAGTAATTAATTGTTTCATCTTAACTGGAAGTGATTACGACAATTTTCCAAGATGCAGGCGCCACAAGAGGATATTTCTGATTTTCCTCTCGAAATATGCTTGAAACCCCAGCCACTGATAGGCATGAGTGGTTTGGATGTAAGAAACAATGCAATGCATAAATTGATTGCTGATACCTTCTTCAATAATCGCCGAATAGATGGGATTCAAATACAATACAAATTAATAGATAACACATTCTCATTTCCAACTATGAAACCAAAGAGAAACTCATATGAGTGGTATGTTCCAAAGGGTATCTTAAAGAGGAACTGGATGCATAAACATTTAAATTGCATTCCAGCTGTAATTGCTGTGTTTTATGAATTGGATTGGAATGATACCCAGTTTAATGAGAAAACTATTGAGTGTGCAAGTAGGATTCAGTCTTTAAGGTAAAATAACTTAACATTCCTTTAAATAATGTATTTATTATGTTAAATGTTCTATCAAAATATACAGGCATGCATTGGAAGGAAGAACAACAAAAATTACTCTTGTTTTAATGCAAACAAGAGCTCCCATGCCTTCAAATGATGACGTTGTTGCAACAGAAAGGGCTGCAACTATATGTGGCCAATGTGGTTTAAATACAAAAATGTTATTTGTGTTACCACATGGTGATCACTTACAAGGGTATGCTGTAAGACTGGAAAACACATTCTATGAGTTGTCACAAGGTTATTATGGTAGTGAAGCAAAAGTAATCAAAGGACATCGCGAGTATTTGAACAAAAATACACATCAGTATCTAATGGTGCGCCATCAGTTCAAAATGGGCTTTTTGAATGAGTTGAAACAAGATATTCACGCAGCACATAAGTATTATTCATATAACTTCAAATATCTGAGATAATAACACGAAACGTTTGTAGACATTACACTCATGCCTATAATAATTTGTTGGAGATTCGTATTGTTGATACGAATGCCAACGAAATTCGCACCATCGCTGGTTTTGTTAACTACAAATTATGTCGACTGATGTTCACGTTAAACCTGCCAAGGGACGCGATATCGCAGTTTAAGACACATACAGAAAGGTTTAAGATGCGTCTTGGTTTCGCTGAGCTCGCTTTTGAGCACTATGCATGGTTATCGAAACAATTTAGCACATTCGGCGATATTTTTGACGAGGCTGTGAAAATGGGTCTACCTGCGGTGCAGACTCAACATCCCGGATTGTACTATCAACAAGCGGTGCATTATGCCAATCTACGTAAAAAAAGTTGTTACGAGCTGTGTAATGTTAGTAAATGCTTTGATGGGTACAAAAGCATTAAGATTAATTATTGTTAATATTTTATATAGTCCATTGAGAGTTATCCCAGCAATGATCCACTAGCCGGGTTAAAAACAGTCGAGTTCTATGGTCAGCGACCATGGCGACCCGGCAAGGTCACTTCAGAACCGCCAGATCCGCAAATCGAAAGCAACGGCATCGAAGCGCTGCAATATCTTGAGAAGCACGTCAACCATTCGAACATCATCATCGGGTTGTACGGTCTGGCTGTCACTCAGTTCAAAACGTACAAGTGTCCTCGCACGCGTCGACACTTGGTCGTACAAATGGCCGACGAATATTTTGTCTCTGGCGACTATGGCAAGGCACTAACGTAAGTCGTCCGAAAAACGATTAATAATCGTTAGTCGTGTGCATCGCTGACGTTGATCAATGTTTCAGTCTGCTTACACACATGCTTCTCGACTATCGCACCGAGTGCTGGTGGTCCATACTCTCACACATCGTGGAACGTGCGTTAATTTGCGCTCATTTAATTGCCAGCATTGAGGACTTCGTCGTTTTAAGTTTAGAATTACTGGGCAGGAATGCCAAGATAACGTACGAAAAGAAAAAGACCGTATATGAGAATCTCGTTCGTATTCTAAGCCGACAAACACCAATTAAAGATGCACTGCTGCAGATTGATTCCAAACCACAGTGGGAAAAAGCACTAAGTGCTGATTTAAATTTACGTCTTGATATGACTAATATCACTACATGCATCGATTGCAAGTGCAGGTTTTTGCAGAATAAGTATCAGGCTGATGATAAAGTGCAAGTTGAAGTTTACGTACGCAATGAGTGCGAGTTTCCGATGAATTTCAGTTCCATTGGAATTACTGTGAAACATTTCAATGATTCCAGTAATTATTTTGTTCAGGGTGGTGACTTCTTTTTTAAAACTGGAATTGTCAAACGGTTTATAGTCGAATTTACGCCGCAGCTAGCTGATATTAATAATGAAATATCGATTGTTGCGGTTGATCTGCATTTGGGTGAAATGGGAAAGTTGGTTTTGCAGTTCACAGGCACTGGTAATAAATGTAGCATTCCAATGGAACTGAAATTTTTCCGTAAAGAACACAAAGGCTTCGAGTTTGACAATGTATATCCAAGTTTAAATTCGACGATAGTTCCTCGCAATTCCAAATTAAAATTGTCGTTTACACATGCAGAACCTGCACTCCTTGGCGAATGGTATGAAATTACTATTCATATGCGTAACGAAGAAAGACAGAAAGTCTCCAATATGCAGTTTGAAATTGGTTTGGTAGATGATGAAGGCATCGACAGTAGTAAGTTGCAAATATTTAGAATTTAATAAAACCTGTTTGCACATTGCATTATCGCAATAACAATGCAACTGAGTTAAACAAGCACATAAAATGTTTTATTTTTAGCCGAATTCAGCCGGCAGGCGGACAGGAGCGCCGAGAAGCTGCCGATTGCTTTTCATCATGACGAACGAGCACCGTCGTTCACTCTATGCATGCGAGCGCACAAGATCGGCGATCGCAACATCTACATACGCGCGACGTTTGTGTTGGACGGCATCGTACCCAGCCTCACCGAGACGACGCTGCAAATCTCGGTCGTGAAACCTTTCGAAATCGCAACGCGCTATCTCACCGGCATGTTTGAGGATGCGGCGAAATTATACGCGGATGAAGAATTCGTCGCCATGCCAGTTATTAATTGCCTGTCGCCTTGGCCCATTATAATAGAAGACACGAAATTAGAATACGACCCGAACGTACGGTGCGTGGACGCCGACACCGAATGCCAAATCGCCGGCCACGAATTAAAGAATGGCGAATCGGTGGCCGAGATGTACTTGGCGACGACGGCGAAGCGCAGCGATGTCCCAATCGCCATCGGGCAATACACCGTCGAGTGGCGCAGGTTGATTAACCCAGTTTGCGAGCGCACATGCATTTTATCACAATCGTGCTCGCATTGTTTCAGATTAAACGGCCCGGCGACGACCAGTCGGACGCAGCTTGCTGGTCCCCCAATCGACTGGATACCGTTGGAGCTGCGACTGAATGTGCCCTCACATGGGCTGGTGCGAACTCCAATGCTCATCGAGTACCACCTGTTCAACAAATCGTCTTGCCTGGTGCAGATCGACGTGAATATCGAGAGCGGCGAGGCTTTTATGTTTGCAGGATTTAAACAATTCCGCGTTAGCATCCTTCCTTCTGCCAAGAAAGTATTGACTTACAATCTCTACCCGCTTATCGCAGGCAGTGTATGTCTACCCAAGCTGGTGCTCTCATTGCCCGAGAGTGAGGGACCCGCGCTGCGGCAGGAACAATTGAACGCCTTATTGCAGCGCTCACTGCCAACGCATATATTTGTTATGGTAATGCTCATACATTCCAAGATTTTATTTAGTGCCAAACCTCGCGGCGTCTGCAGTTATTTAAACTCGGCCATTTTTAATTGTCACTTTCCTATGACAGTTGCCAATCCAAAACTTATAGGAATTTTCTACGTTAAATAAACTCACTGTATATGATGAGGACGGTGCGTCTGAAATTAGACACGGCCGTGAAATGAAAATTATCACTTATTTTATTATTCGTTTTTACGATGAGGTTTTGCAAACATTGCCTGCAAATACAAATCGTAGACAAACGCAATATTTTTTTATGCGGATAAATTCGTTTGGAGCTATTTTTAATATTCTGTATTTTTATTGTTTCAGCCTCAGAAGAAAGGAAACCCGACAATACCCAAAATCATGAATAGCGTCGTCTGTTAATGCAAGATTAGTAAACAAATATAAATAATAAAAATATCTGAAATCTGTAGACGAGGTGCGTTCCTCGTTTGCAGAGTAGGTACATAATTTCATAATAAATTCTAAAAATGTCTTGGCTGGGGATTTGGCGTTCACAAAGGATTGACCTTCCCGGCAGAGTTTTTAATTTGTTATGCCGCAGATTATGGCTGTACGGCAGCAATACTTGTCGTACACTCATATTTATAGTTTCAAGGAGAAGGATTCGGCGTGTATTAGGCCGGCGACGACGGCGCTCATACTCGCGATTATGCGAGAAGGAACGCGCTGCAAATATTTGACAACACGTGTAAATAAACTTTGTATGTAGCAGCAGGCTGTTGTGTTTGTGTTGATTCGCTAGCAATTATAGGCGATACAAGGCGCTGAAATGATCCCCCGGAAACAAATGGTTTTTGCTATTTTTATTCCTATCGAATCTCCCGTAAATTCATTAGCCGCGTCGTTATCATTAGATGTGTGCCGCGCGCTGCATCGCAACGGTTTATAATGAAGCATACTAAAAATATACGCGTAATTCGTTTCGAACAGAAAGAAGGAAAACAGCCATAAAGATTTATTTCGCGAAGGCGCTGCCAACTCGTAGTTATCTCGGCGAGAGTGGCGACCAGCGCCAGCACCGACATTGCCATTTAAAAACTGGTCGATTGCGATGATTTTTCCAAATGATTGTGCAAAATTTTTCAACTATTAATAACGTTTTTGTCGATGCGCCCGGGGCCAAGACGGTTTTATTATGTCAGGCAAGCATACATTATCAAAATGTATTACGCGTACTATCATGAAGATCGTGAAATGTTGATCGTCGTAAAAAATGTAGTAAAAAATAAAAATATGTAAAACTAAATAAAACACCAACGAATGTCCAAAGATCAAACTCATGCATTTATACGGTCCCCTAAAACGAAAAACTATTTAGCCAAATGTTTATTTAACAAGCGTGCAGTATGTTTATTCGCTATTGCAGTGAAAATCTCGTACGCTGAGTAAATAAATATTAATCACGGGTTTAATGGAAGTTTTATCTGATAAATAAAGTGCAGTATTAATGCTGCAATTATTTATTAATCGAAGAGATATCAATTTACCGTCGAAATCTTTGCTCCGTCTGCGATCGTCTAAATTTAGCTAGAGGAAGTCGCAACTTAGGACTTGTTTTTAGTGGGATACATAAATATCAAAACGTATTAATGTAGCAAAATGTTTACACGTTGTGGTAGTTTATGAGTCAAACAATTCTAACAATATGAAAGTGAAATTAATATTAATTAAAGTCAACGTGCGCCAATGGCAATTTATTTAAAAATTACGGCAGTTTTTCTTTGTTGTTATTATTATTACAGAGTATTCTAAAAGTTGGCATCAGTCGAAATTGTAGTTTTTGTATCCGAATCTATGCGCCAGACTATCACATTTTTTATAGACACTGTCTCTTTTTCTGTTATTTGAAGAGCCTGTTGAATGGCCAAAATTAGGCAGAATCTGAAAATAGTGTTAAGCGATATGATTCAATGTATTTTTACAGCTTGCTTGCACTGATTGACACGCTAATTGTAAACAATGTACGACACGCGCCTCAATACGAAAATGAGTATAAACCCGCCTCGGAAATGGCTCCGAGGCGTTGAAAAGCAACCAAAAAAATTGATTTACGAGGCGCGTGCTCCGTCACTCAGAAAAGCGTTATTTTCTGAATGCCAACTTTCCACAATCGCTACCGCTGCGGTTGCAGGCCGAGAAAAGATCAAACGCCCGATCCAGCGCACGACTGTCCGCAGCAATTTTCCCATCGTAATCTCGCACTTCTTTTCCGGTGCGGCGACTAGTACACGATCATCGCAATCGGCGCTAATTATAATTCTTAATTATACGTTAAGCTATTTGCGGGCCGCAATCGCTCGTTATTAAGTTACTCGCGGCTTGCATTAGGAATGGCGAGCACATCGAAACTTTAAAAGTCCGTCCGATTAATGAGCTCGGCCTCTCAGCTATTCCTAGATCCGTCATTCGGAGGTGCGCTTTTTGGATGCTGCTCGTGGTTGGCGCGAGCGCGTGCGCTGCGATCGCGAATTAATAATGAACAGGTGTGTGCGCGACAAAAGTGGCTGTCGCGTGCGAGTAAGCCGCGCGAATTTCGAGTCCAAGGGCTAACGAAAATATCGCGCGGCTGGAAGTCTTGACGCGCGACGCTGCGGCTTATTTGCAAGGTTTCTGGATTATGCGGACATGCAAAATTTACTTTTCGACCGCAAAATGATGCGCGGAATGTGACTTAATGAGGCGCAACATATGACAACACCTGTCATTTCATCAAACTGCGGACCCTTTTTTTACATCACCATATGCAATGTAGTTTTTTATTGTGTCTGAAAATAGTTTTGAAATGCATTAGGAAAGTTATCTTACTGAATCCTGCTGCGTGTTTGGTCGTCCAGAAGAAATGCCACAACTTCTAAACAAACAGGAAACACGTGTACCTAAACAACGCGTGTGGCGGCGTTTGCATCTAGATCTAATGAATCAATCAATGCGTAACTACTAGACATGAGGGTCCAATCAATTTGCTTGGCCCCGCTCGCGCTGTCCGCACTTTCGCATTCAAGTTGGCCGCCATCGGACATATTTCGAACAGCATTCACGAGCTTTGCGAGCTTTGCGAGCTTTGAACGATCAGACATTATAAATCAACACCGATCTCGGACTCATTTGTATCGTTTTCTTTTTATTATCAAGGATTACCTCAACTGCCTCTAACAAATCGGTAAAAAATTGTTTTGGTAGTTACAAAGTGCGGCCGCGTGTTCAATTTTAGCGACGCACGCGAATGATTCACGATAACGATCGATTCGACATTGATGTGCGTGCCTCGCCGGTGGCGAAGAAGCGGTGCGAACACAATCGCTTCGCTCGTGCTGATGAAGCGCGCTTGTGTACAGGCTCGAACCGTCGGCTATAAATAGGGCGGCACGGGGATATACGTGGGCTTTCGCGATTTTCTGGACCTCGAAAGCGCGTTTAAAATAGTTTCCGGCAGACTTTTGCCCTGCACGTGAAGCAACGCTCATTTGTCATTCGCAGGCGGCGGCGCAAGCGAGCCGGCCGAAAATGCGGCTGAGCAATCGCATTGCGCGCACTCGAAACACACATATGTGTAGGTATATGCGAGATGTGCAAACCGTGTGTGATCTTGAACGTGAGCTAAATATGCGCGCTCGTATTCGCAATTTGCGCTACATACAACTGATGCTATTTTATGCACTTTGCCTCTGGAGGCAAGAATCTTCTAATGGAGAAGATCTTTTCATTAGTCATTTCGGTCGTTTATAACCGTAATTTTTACACGCACCGAGCGCAGCGTGCGAATTGATCGACTGTTTATTTACACATCTGGAAACTCCGCAGAAAGCTTCCTCATCACGATTAGGAATTGTTTTAATTTAAATCTGTAATTCTGTAATTGTTTGAAAAGTAAACGAAGCCACAAATTGTGCGCTAATTTCGCGGTGAATTGATTTAAAGGTTCACGCTCAATTCGTTTTAATTATTATTGTAGTCAAGTATTGAAGGAGTCCGTGCACAATACGGTTTACGAGACGAAAGTGACAAAAGTGCCGCCCGTGCCGCCGTTTCCAATCCATTGTGCGCGCGCTTGTATGCGTCGTGGAGCGCACGGCCGGCGGCGGCGAGCAGCGCGACGACAGCGAGCCACCGGGGTCCTCCCCGGGGTTGGCGCGCCGCCAATTCACCTACAGGTATCTACCGAGATTATAAAAGCAACAGACGCATTTGCTCGGTCGCCCGTTCCGTTCTGCAGCTTAGTACAACAGTTCGTATCCAGCGGCGCATGGGGGCCTAAGCCTCGTGTAGTTTAAATCGTTAACTGTTTGTGCCAAGTGATATCACTGGGACCACACTATTGTGATAACCGGTAAGTCCAGTGCAGCCAAAACACCATCAACATTAAACAAATAAACTCGCTGTAGACAGAACAAACAATAAACACAAACGTTGAACTCTTGCAACAAGCAACAAAAGGTAATGCTTCGTTTTGAGTTTAACAAAGTTTCCAAATTGGTTTTTGAAGTGAATAACTAAACGCCGCGGAATACGGAAGCGTTTAATGGACTTGGTAATAGCACATTTTCCTGGCTGCACTCAAACCGAACGTGGAAATTCGGTAAACACGACGAAGCCAGGAACAGGAAATGAGAATTGAACGCTTAATGACGAAGATAAAATAAAACCACCGCAAAGCAACGCAGTGAGCCTGAAAAAGTGCAATTACATAAGACTCCCGAACATTCAAAAATAAATTCGACCACGCGCGCATTGCAACACTCGAGTCGTACACGGAACGTGAATGATGGCGATGGCGATTGAAGCGGTGTGTGGAAGCTGGATGTTTTTCAAAGCGCGCGTTCTCGGACGGGTGTTTGGGTTGTTGTCGGGTTACGACTTGGGTTATGTCAGGACGACGCAAAAGCTTATGAGATATTTTGTCATTTGCATATACAAACACCACACACATACAGATGTGAGGTCGCGTACATTAGCGACATGCGTGATCATTGCCAAAATAATCAGAATCCTCAAAAATATAAAAAGGCGAGCGACCGAGTGCGTGCCGAAAGGCCGAACTTGTCGGCGAAGGCGGCAAAGGCGCGCGTTTCTAAAAGCGTCCGCTGATTCTGGCCGGCCGCGCGGCCGCGATTCTGGCACCGGGCCCGCGCACCCGGGAGCACCGTCGCCTTCGTCGTATTTACGCGCCGCGCACTGACCAAAAATAAAACAGCAAACTAATGACGCACTTAGATTATCTCACTCTCGCGGCGCACAAAAATTTCCGCGAAAAATCTATTTTTGCTCGAGGATTTTTAATTAAGTTATGCAACTTTAATTCAAACATTCATCCTGCACCGTGCAACTTGCAATTTAAATGCTGGTTGCAACAACGTGCATTTTTTCTGTTACCGATGCATTAAATTGCTTTACATTCATTTTCGGCGTACATTAGCACGTGCAACGAAAGTTTAAAAAATATCGTTTCAGATTAAACATAACGTGTGTTTGAAATTTAAAATTAGTAACAAATTTCAGCCAATGCTTATTTCATTGCACATAAACTTGGATATAATGCAGACGCACGCAGCTGAACAATTTCATGCACATCGACCGCACGTAAAAATCCATGCACTACTCGTTTAATGTGCAATGAAATTAATATTAAACCAATAAAACCGACACTCATTAAATTTTGAATGATTGGCTTGGTTTATAAGCAAACAGTTTTAAAAGTCAATTAAATCTAATGTAAAACGTTTCGAATATTTGAGCGATTTGAGTCATCATGACAAACAGTGGAATAGTGTCTGTAGAGGCCGATAGGTGTCGCTTGCCGTTCCGAATCGTAATTTTCTTCGACGCTGGCAGGACCCGTGTGAGCCCACGTCAGTGACTCGGTGCGGTGCGCGTAGCGTGTAGTCAAATCAGTCAGTCAGTTTCGAAAAGCGCTTCGTCGACGTTCAGGACTCGCAGTTAATACGCGCTGCGTGCCGACGATCATCGTCGAACAAACGGTACGTGTGCCAGTCAGCACGGGTGCTGCGGAGCGAAGCGAACTTTAGTTTGTTAAATGTGCGCTTACATAGACGGATAGTACTACTTCTAGCTGCGACCATTATCATCGTGCGTGATTAAATTGGTAAGTCTTTATCAGCACCGGTGCGGATCGTGCATCGCACTGAACGATCAGACGTTGTCTATAAGAGAGATGCAATAGGCAACGGGCGAGCGAATGCACGACGAACACGTCACATTCACATTTCGACGAGACATCCGGAACTCTTCTAACATTCGTCGGCCGGCGGCAATTGAATAATGCAATTTTCAACCCGCGCGGACATGGGACCTAAATAATTAAGCGCATTTCATACAATTACCTAGTTTTTTTCGCCGAAATAATTGAATCAGCCGTTCTAACCTCACAAAGTTTATTTCACGCTGTCGCCTTGAAGTTTTTAACTACGTTTCGGGCTTTATCATTTCGAGTTTTATTTATCGCGACACGTAACGCGTGATTATCGAAAGGCATTTCGTGTGGCGAGTACCACACTACTTTTAACTCAAATTGAAATCAACTTAAAATGCATAATGACTCTGCAGAAATATGCGAACCAAATTTACTACACCACGCAAACTTTTCGATCCATTTAACCATATAATTAATTACTCCATGGTTTTACCTATGTTTTGTTTTCTTTCAGAACTCTTGACTGACCGTTAACAATGGAGGACGGCCACAGCAAAAGCGTGGAGGAGGTGTTGAACTATTTTCAGGCTGATGCTGAACGGGGCTTGTCGCTTGACCAGGTGAAAAGGAGCCAAGCCAAATACGGCCTTAATGGTAATTTATTATTTTTTATTTACCCCAGAACGCAATTGTTCAAATAAAGAAACATCATTTGTTTGCCAATAACATAACTCTGTAAATACAGTGGTGGCAATCCGCAATCTAGTGATAGTAGAACATGTGTATAGGTGATTTTTCGTGTGCCAGTATATTATACATCAAATATACGATTTCTATTTACAAACGCCGATGCGCGTGCTTTAATTTATAATCACCTTGCAGAGGTTGCGAAACGTGTGCTTAGTTTACTATAAAAGATGCACTTACGCCGCTTCAGATGTGTGTATGCTAAAAAGTTCATGACGTCAAAGTGCGTCAGCAGCACGTTTGTATGACGCGGCTGCTATTGTGTGGTGGCACGAGTTCACGCCGACCGAAACTACATACGAGGTGGGAACAGTCAAAGGATTTACCGACTGGCCATGAGGTTCCCAGCGCAAAATTTAACAAGTTGCCTAACTACGATTGTCGCGCAACTCATAGTTTTTCCACACTTGATCGCGCAAAAAAATAAAATAATCTTCGGTTGCATATTTTTTTTACTCGACAGATGCAACATGCAAATAAAATTATGTAATGTTTGCCAGCACATAACACCTTGCACTTTTCGTGGGCATATAGATTTTTTCTTAAATGCGCAATACGAAAATTTTGCTCTATTTATAGCCTTCGTGTTCTGCCATATAAAATCAGACCACACACCGTTTACATTGAGTAGAATTTCTATGAAATTAGTTTTGAACGACCACGTTCTGCTTAGGATTAATTTAGATTCCAGCTAGTTACATCTTGACTATGTGTGTGGTTTACTTTGTCGGTGCTGCCGTGCACCGTGCGTTGTGCTACCTGATAAAGTGTGCACACAGCCTTGAACATATTGTTAGATTGTTAATAATTGCCTTAACCAAATCAGATTAGTAACTTCAGCTCACCGAATGAATGGATGGCTGGTTGCACGTGTCAATGTTGCAATTCGCGTTTATCTAGCGTATTATTCTTGCTCGTTTCTTTGCCGCATTCGTATTAATATTGTATTTTTGCATTGTTACAGAATTGCCTGCTGAGGAAGGTGAGATTTCTCCACATAATGAGGGTGTTTCTTTAACACTCCCTCGCTACGTCGAGTGACTGGATGTAGGTCAAGTTGTAATACTCATGTGCTTTTATAATTTCTGTTCACAGGCAAGTCGATATGGCAGTTAGTTTTAGAACAATTCGACGATCTTCTAGTCAAGATTTTATTATTAGCCGCTATCATTTCATTCGTAAGTTTTGTCAGAAAATTATTTATTTGTGATAACGACTAATAAAAATGTTCTCTTCAGGTTCTCGCCCTTTTTGAAGAACACGAGGATGCATTCACAGCCTTTGTAGAACCTTTTGTAATTTTGCTCATCCTTATCGCTAACGCCGTCGTCGGTGTCTGGCAGGTATGTTCTGAAATTTTAAATGTAATGTGAGTACATTTAACGGTGTGTTGTGGTATTTAGGAAAGAAACGCTGAATCCGCTATCGAAGCTTTGAAGGAATATGAACCCGAAATGGGTAAAGTCGTCAGATCCGACAAGTCTGGTGTTCAGAAGATCCGCGCCAAGGAAATCTGCCCCGGTGATGTCGTTGAGGTCTCCGTCGGTGACAAGATTCCTGCTGATATCCGTCTTATCAAGATCTACTCCACCACATTGCGTATCGATCAGTCTATCTTGACTGGTGAATCCGTTTCCGTCATCAAGCACACCGATGCTATTCCAGACCCCCGCGCTGTCAACCAGGACAAAAAGAACATCCTTTTCTCTGGTACCAATGTCGCCGCCGGTAAGGCCCGCGGTGTTGTCATTGGCACTGGCTTGAACACCGCTATTGGCAAGATCCGTACTGAAATGTCCGAAACTGAAGAAATCAAGACTCCCCTTCAGCAGAAACTTGACGAATTCGGTGAGCAGTTGTCTAAGGTTATCTCCGTTATCTGCGTTGCTGTCTGGGCTATCAACATTGGTCACTTCAACGATCCCGCCCACGGTGGCTCTTGGATCAAGGGTGCCGTCTACTACTTCAAAATTGCCGTCGCTTTGGCTGTCGCTGCCATCCCTGAAGGTCTTCCAGCTGTCATCACCACTTGCTTGGCTTTGGGTACCCGCCGTATGGCCAAGAAGAACGCTATTGTCCGCTCTCTGCCATCTGTAGAAACCCTTGGTTGCACCTCTGTTATCTGCTCCGACAAAACCGGTACCTTGACCACCAACCAGATGTCCGTCTCCCGTATGTTCATCTTCGAAAAGATTGAAGGCAATGACTCTTCCTTCCATGAATTCGAAATCAGCGGCTCTACCTACGAACCCATTGGTGAGGTCTTCTTGAAGGGCCAGCGCATCAAGGCTGCCGATTATGAAACCCTCCACGAAATTGGTACCGTCTGCATCATGTGCAACGACTCCTCCATTGATTTCAACGAATTCAAACAGGCTTTCGAGAAGGTCGGTGAAGCCACCGAAACCGCTTTGATTGTCTTGGCTGAGAAAATGAATCCCTTCAACGTTGCCAAGGCCGGTGATCGTCGTGCCGCTGCTATTGTCGTCCGTCAAGAAATTGAAACCAAGTGGAAGAAGGAATTCACTCTTGAATTCTCTCGCGATCGTAAATCCATGTCTTCCTACTGCGTACCCCTCAAGGCCAGCAAATTGGGCAATGGACCTAAACTTTTCGTTAAGGGAGCACCTGAAGGTGTTTTGGAGAGGTGCACACACGCTCGCGTCGGTGGCACCAAGGTTCCACTTACCAACGTTCTTAAGAACCGCATCTTGGACCTTACCCGTCAATACGGTACCGGCCGTGACACCCTCCGTTGCTTGGCTCTTGCCACCGCTGACAACCCAATGAAGCCCGATGATATGGATCTTGGCGATTCTACCAAATTCTACACTTATGAAGTTAACCTTACCTTCATTGGTGTCGTAGGCATGTTGGATCCCCCACGTAAGGAAGTCTTCGACTCTATCGTCCGTTGCCGCGCCGCTGGTATCCGTGTCATTGTCATCACTGGTGACAACAAGGCTACCGCTGAAGCTATCTGCAGGCGTATTGGCGTTTTCACCGAAGAAGAAGATACCACTGGCAAATCTTACTCTGGTCGCGAATTCGACGACTTGCCCCTTTCCGAACAAAAAGCCGCTGTTTCCCGCGCTCGTCTCTTCTCTCGCGTAGAGCCCGCCCACAAGTCCAAGATTGTTGAGTTCTTGCAGAGCATGAATGAAATCTCTGCCATGACTGGTGATGGTGTCAATGACGCCCCAGCTTTGAAGAAGGCCGAAATTGGTATTGCCATGGGCTCCGGTACCGCTGTCGCTAAGTCCGCCTCTGAGATGGTGTTGGCTGACGACAACTTCTCTTCCATCGTCGCTGCCGTTGAGGAAGGCCGTGCCATCTACAACAACATGAAGCAGTTCATCCGTTACCTTATCTCTTCCAACATTGGTGAAGTCGTATCCATCTTCTTGACCGCCGCTCTTGGTCTTCCTGAAGCCCTTATTCCAGTCCAGCTCTTGTGGGTCAACTTGGTCACTGACGGTCTTCCCGCTACCGCTCTCGGTTTCAATCCCCCCGATCTTGACATCATGGAGAAGCCCCCACGTAAGGCTGATGAAGGTCTTATTTCCGGATGGTTGTTCTTCAGGTACATGGCTATCGGTATGTACGTCGGCTCCGCCACCGTTGGTGCTGCCACTTGGTGGTTCTTGTACTCTCCTGAAGGTCCTCAATTGACCTACTACCAACTCGTAAGTATTAAAGAGGTTCAGTTATTATCTTAATTCTCTACCACGAATGTATATTTGGTTAGACCCACCACATGTCTTGCATCGGCGACAACGAGGACTTCAAGAACGTTGACTGCGGCATCTTCCACGACCCCCACCCAATGACCATGGCTTTGTCTGTACTTGTAACCATTGAAATGTTGAACGCCATGAACAGGTAAATGAATTAATGATTACAAACTCGGTTGATAGGTTTGCATTATTTTTATTTTTTATTATTTTACAGCTTGTCTGAAAATCAGTCCTTGATTGCTATGCCCCCATGGTCCAACTTCTGGTTGGTCGGCGCCATGGCTCTTTCTTTCGGTCTCCACTTCGTCATCTTGTACGTCGAAGTTCTTTCCGTAAGTATCATTGAATCGACTGTACTGCCTTAAACATATTTTGATTTAATCTTTGACCTGTCTTTAGACCATCTTCCAAGTCACTCCCTTGGGCGCTGATGAATGGATCACCGTCATGAAGTTCTCACTCCCAGTGATATTGCTTGACGAAACTCTCAAGTTCACCGCCAGAAAGATCGCAGATGGTGAGAATCCAATATACACTGTGTGGGGCATTGTGCTCATGTGGGCTGTGTTCTTTGGGCTCATCATCTATGGGCCGATCTAATTTGCTGAATTAACAGACATTTATTTGCCACTGCCTCCAAAGACGAGGATTAGCGAGCAAACAAAACAACAGCAAGCAACAAAATAACAACATTTGCAAAACTATTAGACATCAAAATATGAAAAACCAATTACCTCCGACAAATTAAAACAGGACTTGTTGTTTTTGTGTGCGTGTGCAATGATAATATTTATCAAAAATCATTGAAAATCTTTAGATTGGGTGGGCGGTATGGTAAATTAACAAATAGTCATGTTTTTTCTCGATACAAATGGTGAATGAACTAAATCCATTCATTTCAAAGTGTTGTGATTTAGTAAAATTATTATTATTATAAAGAAACTTAATGAAACGTTTAAGCAAATGCAAACACAGAGGTAACAAACCAACTAATACGATAATAACGAAGCTCACTGTGTCTTGCGGACCATTGAAGTGGTGCAAGGGACAGAGTAAGGACGGACACCAAAATAAGTGGTAAAAGACTGACACGGTTGTTGTATCAATCAACAAAACCAAAAAAGAACGTTTAAATCTTCAATTCTTCCCCCTTGTATTCAATTAGCAAGCGATTGTTAACTTTGACTACTTTAAAGATCAGTAATTAATTAAACCGTAGCTCTATTCTAATCAAGTAATATTGTAAACTATCACGACTTAAGATATTGGCGAAATTTTGGACACGCCGTCAAGCGTTTTATGATATTAACGACGGCGCCTTAGGAGTCGTACTTAAGTTAACACATTGTGAACTTTCTATCTATTTACTACAATTTACTATATCTATCTATATTTAAATTTATGAATTTACAATTTGGATTTCCCCTATTTAAATAAGTACGAGAAACAATCAATCGTGTTACGGCAATTTACCAACGTGTTTTTAAATGATTTTTTGACAAATGGTTTCGATGAATATTACTATTACTCTTCTTAGTATTTATTACGGATATGTATGTCGCCATAAACTATGCTCCTTTAATATGACTTTTTTGTATTTTGTGTGTTTAGAGAAACTATTTGTCTTGCGATTTTTCTAAGAAAACTAAGAAAAAGAAAACATAACAATAATTATTTTCTTCCGTAGTTAGCAGCAGTTATTTGTACATACAAAAATTATTTAATAATAATGAATCTACAAATACGAAAGCAAATAATAGAATTTGTAAAGTCGATAAAATTGATATACACGTACACCACATACACATATGTTGAAGCATTAAGCGAATGTTACGTTGATCATAATAAAACTTTCCAAGGTTCAACCGACGAACACTACAAACGAAACATTGGAATTCCAAACATACATTGTGACAATTATGTATTCCGAATGTGTGTCTTTTATTTTATTTTTTGTGTGTGGCTCACTAACAATCGTGTAGATGTTAACCAAAAGTAGGTACTGATATAATGTGACACGACAATGCTGCCCAATCCAAAGCGAAGACAAGTTGGTGGCCATTGTTGCGAATGTTTTGAGTAGTGTGACGCACGTTATTGCGATATTAACCCCGATTCTCGTCCATCGGTAAGTGAATTTTGCAGTACTTTTGTGACTTCCGTTTGATTATTTAATTCTACTTGAATTTGGCAATATATTGCTGAATTTTAGTCTTTCAATCAGTTAACATTCTGTTTCATCAAGTACTCACGTTCTATATGTTCTTCGTTCTCTTTTCGCAGTTGCACCAGTAGTTCAACTCAGGGAATAAACATCTCCCATTGAAGTGTGTTGAGTGCACGTCTTCATTGTGTAAATAATGAGAGTTCACAAACAGAAAAAACGAGAAAAAAATACAAAAAAAAAATAATATAAGAAACTACACATTTACAAAACCACATCCTAATATCACCTCAACAAAAAAAATCGAAATGTAATTAACAAATCGCAGGCGAGCTGTTACTTTATTATTATCATTGTAATTATAAAATAATTTTCTTTTTTATTATTATTATGATTATTATTAATTATTACTGTAAAATATTGTTCTTTTCATTTATGTCTCAGTTGGTGAAGTTGTTGTAGAACGAAATGGTAGACGATAGTGTTAAACAAAAAAACAAAATAAGAAACAAATTAAAAAACTTAAACATAAGACTTTTGCGAGCATGACAACGACTCATCGAACCATTAGTGCAACCTCTGTCACGATATCTTTTATTTCTTATTTTACTTTTTCTTCTTTACTGCTCTTCACTCTTTCATTCTTCTGTTTTTACCTGTGACGACTTTAAAAATATACTTTTCACATAACACTCATTTGCAAGCTTCCTTATTTGGTGTTGTCTTATTTGTGTCTCCCTTCTATTTATAATTTTTTTGCGCGTGAGTACTCCGTTCTGTTTATTGTAAAAATCATCGGTATTCCTAGAATAACTCCGGGTTTTGCTGTTTATTATTTAATCGGATTTGTTTAAATTATGGGAACAGAATCATTTCGGAATGTACTTGGTGCTAAATAGAAAACGATATGGTTTGATGGGATGATATGATTTGTTTAGAATATACCGTGTTGACTTTGAATTCATTGATAAAATCGTAAATTTGTTCTTTTGATATAATCGTTTATTTCACACGTGTTTTACATTACTAACATTTAACGTATGCCATTTAGATTTTATTATGTAAATATTGTTATAAATAATAAGTTACAGTTAAATTATTCTTCATAAAATATTCTTATGTTAGGGTTTGTGTATTTTTTATGATTGTTATTTAGTGTAGATATTAGAATTACAGGGTTTCTTTTGTTCCTTATGTATTTGTTGTAATCAGTAGGAACTTTTAGTTTTGATTTATATATTATAATATCTTCAAATACTTTTTATTTGACTTCTGGATATAGGAATATTAGTTACTGTTGCATTTTTGTTTTGTTTTAGTTCAAAAAAACAAATAAAAGGCGTTTGAACACTTTACTATCGATAACATAATATTTACACTAAAACGTTGCTTTATAGTTTATGGATGCAGATAATGCAAATTTGATTAATTTCGTTTGATGCATAATTGACGTCGGCGGTTGGCTCGATTTTTCATGCGTTTCTGGCACAACTCCAAGCGATAATTAATCAAATCTACATTTACGCAGCACTTGCTTAGTGAAACAATCCCCTGAATGACGGGTCCAATTAAAATACCAAACGAAAAAACATGTGACTATCGAAATGCAATTTTTAACTAACTTTATGTTGAGATGTGGCGAGAAGATCCATTAAATTATCTATTTTCGTGCAATCCCAGCACGCACGAGAATTGCATAACGCGTTAACTGGAGGTGTGAGAGAGTCGACGCAAAACACGTTCGCCGACCAGGAAGTTTTAAATAGACTCAACCAGCGCGCCGCAAAGCCTTGTTATTTGCTAATCGTGTGTCCTAAACGCAACTTTTCCCTAGTTTATTCATTCACTCCTTTGCCATACAACCAATCTTACATACTTATATTGGCAGTGAATGGCTTTCTAAATCTGAAGTATCTAACGGAAATCAGTTGCGCTACACATCATGGCGACCGTATCTGCGGAGTTTGAAGTTTTCGGACAAGTGCAAGGTACTTGAAAAGTTTACGACTTCATCTGTTGCTTCAAGTTATTTTTTAGGATGTTACTTTACGAAATATTTAAAAGAGCAGTGTGATACGTTGGGAATTGGTGGATGGGTGAAGACAACTAAAAAAGGCACATTTTTTGGTATCATACAAGGGACTAAACCAAATGTTGAACTCATGTAAGTAAGGAGTCTGTAATTACCCATATATTTATTTAAAAATGCATATTTTTACATATAGGGTGATGTGGCTTTCGAATACGGGATCGCCAGGAAGTAAGATTGAACGGTGTGAGATGAAGAACTGGACAAACATTGCAAGGCCCGAGTTCAAAGGGTTTTCGGTACGTTTCTAAGTCAATACTTTCTTTGTGCATTTAACTTTATAAAGATTTTACCAACGAGAAATATTTTGTATATGAATAATTTTAAATATAAAGCTATTCTATTTATAAAGTTTCCAAACACGCGGAAGGCTTGCGCGCCATGTCAACACAAACTTTTGCTTGGCAAGCCTACGATTTTCACAATGATATAAATCATTTGTTTCTGGGACACAATTACTTTTAAATTTTAAATTTTATGGGGATTGCAATAATTTACTTCTTTTTATTCTTATTCTTGCTTAATTTATTTTTGTCTGTGGTGTTATTCTTGGCTGAGTAAGTAACTGGTGATGAATAAAAGCTGGCACTTTTGCGACCATCAGCGCAACGCAATGTCGTGAATTTGGTGCATTAAACGATTCTTCTTCAAATGATGCAAACCATTGATCATAATTTACACTATCAACCAGTTCAAAGCCTACTTTTGTTGCGAGTGTTTTACTCTCTTCCGATGTGCACACTGCGCATGCGATTGGAATGTGCAAATGCCTCGCGACCTCTAAGCCGGTGCGAAATAAGTGATATCCCAGTTGTTTACCGCGATGTTCATCGGCAATACATACCAAATAAAATCGCAATAACACGTCGGTGTCATAATCAATAAAGAAATCAATTTTCTTCTGCATTGAGTTCCGTAAAGAAATGCAGTTATCATACACTTTTCCGTTGTGCATACTTGTGTGACTGAACGTGCGGCCAAAATCCAATTTGTCAACAACGGACAATAACAAAACACCAGCAATAGTATTGTTGTGATCGTCAACCAGAAGCAGTGAAGATCCAGTTTTCATTATTTGAAGAATATGCTTGACAAAGTAAGTGACAGATTGTTTATCATTTGCGAATCCCAGCGCGTGAAGTAGTACATCGTTTTGAAAGTAATATTGTTTGATTAGCATGACAGCCAGGTTGAAATATTTCTTCTGCAAATTTTCGATTCGATAACCAGTACCGATACGTGCCCATATTGTTGAACGCGTTATTCCGTAATTTTTGCAAGGACATGAACATGGTCTAAACATTGTGAATATAATCTAGCAGTGGTAATACAAATTTATCACAGATACTTTTGACAGATTTTTTTCAAAATAGATGCCATCATGTTTTGATTGAAAGGCGAAATTATCTAATTGTTGACCAACATAAAATTCAAACATAAACATCTTGGTTTGGTTTGAAAAGAAATTATATTTGGTATTGTTTGTAATTTTATTTATTTTAAATCTCCTACCATATGTACAACATAATTATTTCATTTCTTCATACTAATTTTGCAGATGGTTGCATAAATTAAGGTGTTCCTTGCAAAAACTTGGATAGAAAATCTGTGGGTTTGGGTTCCCATGTTTCCTTGAAGTAATTCATTATATGCCCTTTCTGTTTCCAAATGTTTACCGTTTCTTTCAACTCCATTTGACCCTAGAAAATTAATGCAATTAGTTTTGGCATCAGTTTAGTTTCTAAAATTGAATGTTTACTATACCTTAATAACAAGCATGTCAATAACTCTAACATCTTCACAATCCTTGTGCTTCATGAACTCTTCGCGAAGTTTCGCTTTGCATTGCTCCACCGATTTTGGGATATCGTATTGTCTCACTAAAATCGCGAATCGCGTTCAAATTGTTATTAAATTCCAGTAACTATTACATAAATCATAGGTTAAACATACCAACATGAGGAAGTTGCTTGTACCAAGCCCTGTACAAATTGCGGGCGCGTCTTCTAGCCTCTTCACGGTCCAAAGACAATAAAGGGCGAACCTCTCGCACTGCAGTTCGGGCAGCCTGCGAACTCATTTTTATGTTATTATGCGATTTTCAGCCGTCAATTGGCTGTAAGTTGGCAATTATTTTCGTTCTACCAAGCTGCAATGACAGAAATTTTGACAATAGTGGTAGCGCGCATGTGCCAGACATATTTTCAGACAAGTCTGCTATGTATGCAAGCAAATATACACTAAATCAGCTGCTGAGAAACACGTTAAGTCTGCAAGCATGCATCACGCATAAGTGGGTGTAGTGGAAGTAATCATAATAAATGCACTACTGCAGAATCTATAATGTTAACGATTTATCATAATGGTTGTTTTACATACCCTTATGAGTATCGTGGTGAAGGAAATGCTCATCTAGCGCTTTCTTTACAAAATGAAAATAAAATACTTCTGATTAAAAAACAAAGCGTTAATGATTTGAGTAATGATGAAGAGAAATGGAATAACTCAATTAATTTTCATAATAATATAATGTGCATATTACTGGAACCTTTTGTCTCAAAAGTACACAAAGTTAAAATTGACGCGCGAGATATTCAACAAATTGAAACCAATATTGCAACAATTAGACCACGTAAGTACTAAATTATATTAGGGAAATTGTCATGTGTCACTCAAGTTTAAATTCCTAATACGGTTTTGTACCCATCTTTAAAATTGTAAATGTAACCATCCGTAAATTGCCTCAATGGCTTGTGATCTTTTCAAGGTAAAGTTTTCTAAGTATTTTAATACCGAAATTTTATTGTGGTTTATTGCTTTTAAAGGAAGAGCGAAAAATTAAGCTACGCATTGACAAGACGGTAAAGCGATTGAGGTGCTTAGAAGATATCAGAGATCGAATTGAGAAATTAATGCAGAGATATTTGCACGAGACTCGCGATATTGAAAAACGAATTGCCGATGCTGATAAGTTGATAGAATCTTTATTACACGCTCAAACTGTTGCCGTTAACAAACGTAAGATTCACGAGGAAATACTGCGTTTAAAAGACGAGAAGAAATCTGCTGAATCGGATGTTATCGCGTTAAAAAAAGAATTGTATCGCAAGATGAAGAAATTAGAGCAAACCAAAAAACTAACGCCCCATCGTAATAAAAGTGGTCTTACTTAGCTTGTTTTGTAATAACTTAACCGTCGTGTAGGAGATTTTAAAAATTATTAATAAATTTATTGGATGAATGTAATTTAACAATAACGGCTTTTTTAGCATTCAGACAAAATAATGTGTTATCAACAATTTGTGCTGCGTTAATGCATGATTATACCCACTTGCAATTAGCGAACAGAGTTTATGAAAATTTGCCAACAATATCTTTTGAAATCAAACCGAAGTGCCCTATCGACATTGACAATAAATGTAAGTTTTGTAACAAACAAAAGAAGAAATTACAGTCTGGCAGGATTGTACGTGTAACAAAATATTGCCCAAAAGATTTGTATTCAGGGTAAATTTAAACTTATATTCATATTTATTTAGTATTAAAATATAAACTATTTTTAGAGATATTAAAAGAATGCAAGAAGCAGTATTAAATCTTCTTAAAAATCCGCAAAATAATATTCAGATTTATAAAAATTCTAAGTTAATATACTCGGATCAACATGACATGCAAGAACTTGACAAAACTTTTGCTTATTGGGACAGCAAGAACCCAACATCAACAATAGTTAATGTGATAGTTGAAATTCTTAATTATAATTATCAATCGCAATGCAATTGGCACGAAAAATCAACAACATTTACAGTGTTAGAGCGATTAAAACAACTCCAAGAATTGGATAATAGCAATAATCCACCGGTGACAAATGATCGTGGTTATGTGAACTTGCTGCTAACAGCGATTGCTGATATAAAATCTGATCAGCTTTCCAAATGTGAATTGATATCACACATTACTAGCCCATTAAGTAGCCACTATTTGTCGAAAATTGTTAGGGATTGTTCATTCATGATTTCAGTGAAACAACTTCCGCCAAACAGGTTAGTCACTTTATTATTTGAGATGTATCTTTGACTGTGGGGTATTTTTTTTGTTTTAGTGATTTTGGTGACACAGGTATGAAATATGTATGCGTAAATGGCATGTATTATGTTTTTGATGTAAAAGTGTTTGATTTATTTCCCAAAGATGAAATAAAATAAAATAATTTGGGTTAAAACTAATAAACAGTGACCATTATATTATGAAAGCATGTATTAATATAAATTAATATTAATTAAATAGGTGTAAGTTAAATTTTATTGGCGGCTTTTCCAGCAACGTTCTTATACTGCAATTCTACATGCCCCCAACCTTTTATACCATTAACTTTGTAATTACTGTAAGACTCGAAGATTTTTGCTTCACAATCCTTGCTGATGTACAGTTCATTGCTTTCGATGACATTGACTTCCATGATATACTCTTGATCTCCTTAAAACGCCAAAAATAATGATTACAGCTTGCACTGGTTGCCAGTGTAATGTTACTTACCTGCCTTGAACTGAAACGCGTAATCTACGGGAGGCACGCCGTTTTCACCATGTTGGTAAAAGGGAAAGTCGCATGCTTGAAGGGCGTACATTTTATTTTTGGCTGCATTATAGTAGTATCCAATGTAGACTCTAAAATTTAATCTCATATATTCAATATTCTGAAAATAATAAATTGCGAAAAAAAATACTCACAATGAAAATGCAAGCGGCATTGACACCATACCAATATTCATTTGATCACCATTTTCTAATGTGCAAAAGTGCAATATGTATCGATGAAAGTAACGCCAATCTCTATGGTTGCCAAAGCTGTGATCCCTCAATCCCTTTAAATTGACTTCGTGCACAGTTCCGTCTATGATTGCGGTTCCATTTATGTCACCTGGCTGTTCATAATGTGTTTGATGTATGCTATAAATAAGTAAAATCAATATTGTTGCTCGGAATTTAACTAGCATAATACCGTTTAACTAAATCAAAATATTCCTTATTCCAACGTTCTTTTGCAATCGCAGTTGCCATTAAATATGGATCCATGTCATGATCAAAATTAAAGCATTCCTTTTCCGATGTCCAGTAAAGCTTCAATTGCACAGTGTGAAGGGTACCTTCAGCGTCGCGCATTTGTCCGTCGTATTTAATCTCCCATTTCTTCTTTGCAACCACCGGTTTAAGGGATATTCCCTCGGCGCAGTAACCTGTTTCAGGTTCAATCTGAGTTAGCGACGTCTCAGGTAGCCTTAATGACTGCAATACGCCCGATTTAAAAGTAGACAATCGCAGCAGTAGAAATCCGTCAATGAGTGGCGCCTTTCTGCGCGCCATTCCAACAATTAAGGCGTCATTTTTGGCGTTTGCGCCATTGAAGTAGACGGCGTCGATCGGCTTATCGTTGTCTGCCAGCAACTGTGGTTTCTCAATGTCGTCATAATTGATAGTGACTTTCTTCAACTGAAATATGAATTATTTTAAAATGCAGTTCAATAATAGTTTAATCCATAATTCTGCTTACCCCTTTCAATTTTAACGAAATATAAATAAATAATACTTTAAACCAGTAGAATTGACCGGGCAGACGATAGATGTTAAAAATTGGCGGTGGTTCTACAGCGAGCAGTTTACGTAGACAAACTATCGTTAGTAACGAAAATGTCAACATCAAGCATTCGGACAGGGTTATCACAGTAAACATTTTTATGTCGTCACACACAGCGCACAGCACGGGAGTTACAGTTGTAAGTATCTTGTCGGTGCTTGTTTTTTACTGTAACAGCGGAGCACTACTGATGTGAAAGCGCTTATAACCGAAAAATTGGAGACTACTTGATCTGTGTACTTGATTGATAAGGTGAGCTGGAAACATACTTATTTGGCAAGGCAAACTTGCAAGATAAAAATTTATACTGCAGCTGCCTCTCAATGTTGATTAAAATGGACTACTTATAAATTAAAAGCATCGTGCGAAATCATTTTTTCGGATTATGAACTTTTGTTCTATAGCCATTATTGTGTATATCTTCTAAACTAAACTAGTACATTAAAATACTGTACTAAAATATTTTGTTTATATAATTGTTTTCTTATAATCTTATAAATTTTTAATTTTTTAGTTATAAAAAATGCATTTAATTAATAAAATTATAGCAGAGGCGCCTGAGATTTTGTTACACTTATAAATTTTAAAAAATACCGTTTACAGAATTCTTCAGAATTATGGGATTGTATTTCTTTTAATTGTGTACGTAGTACTCATGCATAAACACATTCGTCACATACTCGACGCTGTGAAAGAGGAAGAGCGGTACGACCAAGTCTCGTGTGGCTATCTTTGAGGACCTTTAGTTATACCTGGTGACACTGCCGTCTATTGGACTATTATCGTAAACAATCGTAATTACAATAAATTTATTTACACTTGAGTTGTGTGTTGTCATCATCATCGTCATCATGTGGTTTTAAAGACTTAACAGTCTCTGATTTGTGTTTGTTATTTGATAGATTAAATTTGAACATTATGCGTTGTCTAGATTTGACTTATTGTCTTTTTGGTGTAAATTTGCTAGTCATTTAGACAGTGTGATGCATGCGCACTTTCGTGTACGTGTATCACACGTACGCTGCTATTTAAGTGCGTGACCACTCACTGCCTCATAGACAATTTCGCACTGACACACATGCGCGCCACACTGTTTGAAACACTTTGTTTTTGTGAGGTACTATAAAGTGTTCTCAGATGGCGTAACGATGTAGGATTACCTCGAAATATTCCAGCGAGAGAATTTTGTTTTGTTCAATCGGTGCGATATCGACGAGCACACATTCCACGCTTTTGACTTGTGCTATTCTTTGATGTAAGTTCGGTAATGCGTGTTATATTTCCTGATCGCCGGTGATAATTAGTGTTAATAAACGTGTTTGATCTTTTATCAGCTATTTATCGCGTGTGTAATCTGCGTAATTGTAAATTTTGCGTGTTTAATTTATTTACGTGATCGTGCCCGTTGCCGTCGGGCGACGGCCAAAGAAAATATCAACGCTATGAACGCTAATAATTAATTGACTTGTGAGAAACATATTTATCATCAACAGAGGAGCATCGGTCAATGTGCTACCAGGTAAATATTGTCATTCCTATGTTTATTATGCGAATAACAAGAATTTTAATTCAAAGTTTGGGTTCCGACGGAACGCAGATTCATAGCACGAAATGTTGTAGCTAATGTTTTATTTCTCATTTATTTCAGCATTCGCCAACTTTCCGTCGATATACCGTCTTCCATAACCGGTAAGTAAAATAATTTCATTATTTATATAAACTGTTTGCCGTGTACTTAGATTTCAGTTTAGTTATACGTTTAATTGTATTGCAATGTTGTTGAATTTTATTTGGTGAAGATTCAATAAGACATATTCTTCCTCATCTCATCTTAATAGCACTTATATATCACTTAAATATTTAATGTAAAAAACTGATAATCTTTCATTATTAGAATTTAAAATTACATAAATCGAATTTTAATTTATTATTATTTTAATACTTAATTAAAATTATGGGGCTAGGACGTGTATTATTTATAGATGGCCTTAGCATGAACTAAAAATCGTAAAATAGATTTGTATTGTTTATTTCTGTATTTATCGGTAAGCGTGAGCATTCGACACGAGACTTGTGTTTGTTTTGAACACAATTCACACTTTCTTATCGCATTGCCGTGTGTCGTCGTTGCCATCCCCTCACGCCGCATGTTGCTGCATCATATTATACTATTACATGAATATAATGTTTTCTTTTCTTATTTACAGTATTTGCCGTGCCTTGGAGTTCGATGTGATCTGCATTGGTAAGTTTATAATTCAATTATATTTTTCATTTTAATTCCTGCGTCGTACATAAGTTTGTATTTGCATGTTGCAAAGACACAAGACAGTCGAGTTTCAATCCGCTCCTCTGTATCTCTTTTAGTTTTCGAGATATTCACAATCGGAGAAAACTCTCAAAAATGAAAAAGTTCACGTTTGTGCACTTTTAGACACGATTTCAGAACCTTTACACCCCGTATTTTAATTATTTTTTCATCTTATCAGAGAATTTTCCAAACTTTCATAATCTTCAATCGGCTGGTCGCTAGCGCTTTTAGTTTATAAGATATGTCCTAAATCCTAAAAAACAGGATACCGCAACCCCCTTGCCCATTTTTTCGCAATGGGAGTCACTTCTACCGCTACCCTCGTACGGTGCCCTGAACATGAGTCACTTTAACCGCTAGCCTCGTACGGTGCCTTGAATGGGAGTCACTTCTACCGCTACCTTTATTAAATTATTTTTTCGTTTATTAGATTTTCAATTTAACTCGTTTATCTTGTAGAAAATTAGGAATATTCAATCCGTACCTTTCTATTGCGTTTAGTTTCTGAGAAAAATAGAATTGCCATCTCCTCGTGTCGCATGTTGCATATTCTCAAAATGTTTTTCAAAATGGTCGCTAAAGTTTGCCCTTTTTTTTAGTTTTTCCAAACTTATGGTAGAAAACTGGTCATATTTTGGGAACCCTTTGTGATATTTAAACTTTCTTTCCGATTTTGTTAGCTTTTATCTTAAAGATAATTTTCGAAGCACGCGGTAGAAATTTGTCTGTATCTCGGGAACCGACGTGCAATTTTAATGATACTTTCAAATTTGCATAACCCGAAAGGCATTTTATACGATGTGACATTGTTGAACCCCAAAATCTCCCTGTATAGAAATTTATTGCAAAAAAATTCAGTAACGCGAGTTATATTGAAAGATGTGTGTGTGCGCCGTAGTACTCGTTGCGCTAGGAATTGTAGTTCTTTTGGTATAACAGGCGAACGCGCTGTCAGAGTAAGTTCGGAATAATTTTCCCAGATGCAGAATTTATTTGCGTATCTCCCTGTATTGAAATTTATTGCAAGAAAGTTCCGTAACGCGAGTTATATGGAAAGTTGTGTGTATACGCACTAGTACTTATTGCGCTAATTCCCATATTCCCAGATATTTTAAAAAAACGTCAAGAATTGAAAAATGTCAATTTTTCGCATTTTAGTCGCGTTTTTTGACATTTAATTGCTGAAACCATAAGTATTATATATATTTATCTGATAGAGAATTTTCCAATCTTTCATAATCAGCAATTCGTTGGTTGCTATAGCTTTTGGTTTAAGAGATATTAATTATCAAACATCCTCGAAATAAATTATCAAATTATTTGGTAATTTTTTCTTAAGAATTAAAAATTTTTCTCTTAGATTTCCGTTTTAGCTAGCCCATCTTATAGAGAATAGTTCGTAGAATAGTCTCTGCGATTGGTACCTATTTATCTCTTTTAGATTACGAGATATTCGCGATTGAATAAAATGGGCAAAAATTGATAAATGTCACTTTTTAGCACTTTTAGTCGCGTTTTTTGACCTTTTACCTCATTAAATTAAATTATTTTAAATTTTTATCTGATAAAGATTTAATCTTCGGTAATCAACAATTTTCTCGTTGCTATCTCTTTTAGTTTAGAAGATATTCACTTTTGAGAATCGTGGAACTAAATTATCCTTGCCCATTTTTTCTAATGAATTAAAATTTTATTTTCTAGATTTCCAATTTAACTAGCTAATTTTATAGAAAATTTTCCGTAGTTTGAGAATTTTCAATCTGTTCCTTTTTATTATCGCGTTTAGTTTTTGAGAAAATGGAGAAAAATTAGAATCTTCTCTCGCCGTTGCCACTTGACGCATGGCACATTCTTGTATCGTTTAGATCGCAATTATGTATCGTGCCACATGTAATTAGCGCACAAGGTCGCGCGCCGTCGACGTGCCGGCTTTGCGCATCTCTTGCTTTCTTATCATAAACTCTCGCGTCGTTACTGGCATGGCTTCGGCATACGCTATCGATGTTTTGCAACCAGTTTCGTGCCTGGTGCTGGCGTATCCAGATGCATCTCGCGCGACGAGTATTGTTTTATCGGACTTCTATTTTCTACATTTGCATTATATTCGGTCATCAATCGACGTGTAACATGCATCTGCTGTGTTTTGGAAATGATTAAAAGTGCGTTTAACGTCCGTAAATGATTTTTTCCTCGCTTTTGATGTTTACGCTGCGGTTTGTCGGTTATTGTGTTTACATTGGATTGATTGCCATGTTGTTCCCCGTTCTTAGGAGGTTCCTTCGTGCTTGAGTAAGTAATTTTTATCTCACCGTTTCGATACTCCGCACAGAATGTTTGTTTTTCTCCGATGTGTGAATATAATATTATTTTGTTGTACCATAGAATATAAATTTAAGAAATATTGCAATTTGATAGGCATTATTAAATTGCTTAAGACTGGTATTTTCATGCAATATCAACTTTGTTGCATATTTGATAAAATGTGTTTTAAATTTAAATCTGCCATTACTAGATAGTCGGTTAGATGGCACTACGATGCACGTTTTTGCGATAAATATTGCTTGTTGGTGGTAGTGAGTGCACACCGTGTCCGTGTGTGATCACGCGATTTCGTGCAAGAGATAAGTTTTTTTTTTATTTTACCTGCAGGTATCGAATCTTTATTTCGTGAAATCATAACACACGGTTGCGGTTTGTTATATTAGCATCGCAAATTGAAAATATTCTTCAATTCTTTCATGAATATAACTAACAATTTTATATTAATTCTAATAGTTTATTATAAAAATCATCAAGAATGCAAAACATTTTTATTATCAGCAGATCACTTAAGCAGATATCACTTAAATATTTTATGTAAAATCTGACCAAGATTGCCGTG